TGTACTGCGCATCACTTCTCTCCATCTAGATTAACAGTTTGCTACGGTCACTCAGCATGAAAGCTAAGAGAAGTGTAGAGGTGTTTGGTTACAGATACCTTCGTTCAACTACTTGCGTTAGGTGGAGCAGCATAATAAGTAATAATGAAATTAAGTGTAGTGTTAGGTAGGTAGTGAAAGACAGTAGGTAATATTGTGAAGCTCCGTAGATTGATTAGACATTGCGTTCCTTCATGAGCGATGTTACCAGAAGTGGGATTATGCTGGGAAATAAAGTAGTTCCTTTTCTTACAAAGCTCTACAGTACTCTGTCAATCGCTTGATGATATCCAACAACTGACAGTTCATTTCATTTAATTACTAGTAAACATCACAAAACATGTATAACTCTCTTTTGCCTCTTGAATATTCATTTTCACTTTTGAATTTCATTTGCTTCACTTTTCAAAGTAAATAATATGGTACACTTATCCACTCACAAAGCCGTGAGTAGCAAATAGAGAATGGTTTTTCTGCTATATGAGTTAAATCACCATTCGGATTTGAAGCTCATTGAGTAGCTGTATTTAGGTCAGTGAGCCGCATCTCTGCAGAATCAGTATTTGAAATAAAAAAATATTCACACAGTCTTAACACCTTAGGTTGAATCAGATATTAGTACACCTGATACTCCATTAGATAAACAGCAGCAAGATGTATAGTCCTTCAGTGTCATGATTGGGGATCTTGTTCATAATATTCATTTCATGCCCTCAGTTTGTCAGTAAAAGCGGCTCTTCTGCTAATGAACACTAGTTATATGGTCGATATGTTTACAGTCCGGTTTTGCGTATTTCTTGTTTCCTAGTGGCACTTCAGTGTCGTATGATTTTGAGGACTATAACGGTAAAATTAACTCCTGTTTATTTATCGCAAAAGGAGTTTCAGTAGTAATTTTTTTCAAAAACCAGTACAGAAAACTTGTATTTCCCAAGTAGTTTTAAATGATCATCTGGTTCTAGTTTCGGCTGTGAAATGCTACGCATTTGTGGCCTATTTTTGAGATGTCACGAAAATGCCAGGTTCCGCCTATTACGTACTTAGGGGGTTACCGTTTTTTGGTGTATATCTGTAGTTAAGAGTTACCCGAAAATATTTATGTGAACTACATGCTGCCAGCTTTTAGTCAGAACTAAAACCCCAATTTTTATTTTTAACAAAACAAACATGGTACATTATGGGTGCTATGAGATGGACCATACAAAATCTTATAGTTTGTTCGGATGGGAAGACCGAGGCAAACGGTTGTATGAAGACTTGAATTCTGCTCCAAACAGTGGGGCAGCGCCGGGAGCTGCGTAACCATGGTTTCTAGTGACCAAATTGTGTTCATACGCCGTTCTACCCTTTCGGATTTTGGAGCTGATGTACACATATTTGGAATCAGTGTTTCCCAATTCCCCTAGGTAGACCTGAATGTCTACCAAACTGCTTGTAAAGGCTTAAGATGTTCTTTTCACTTTTGTGAGGAACACCCCCGCTGTGTAAAGGTACTGAATAGGACTTGCCTGACAGAAGCTATGAATGCGTATCCACATAAGAGCATTGGGAGAGGAAGACTGAAGTCTACGCACTGTCAGTTGCACCAGGCCGTTTATGACGGCAGAGCAATTACTGGCTATCGAACCTCCTTACGTCTTAGTTAAGCACTAGTGCTTCATCTTCTCACTGGAAACGACTCTCATGGAATGACTGTATAGCGCTGACGTAACAGGTATGTGGAGTATGATTCGTCTACTATCGAATAGAGTATTGATTATTGTCAAAGTTAACCTCAAGTCTTCAATTTGTTTTCTCATTTCTGCTTACTGTGATGCTGGCGTTAGAAAATAACAGTTCAATTCTGTAAGCGAATAGGGTTTTAAAGTATTTGGAAGGACGCCTGCGTCATTTTTCTCAATATCCCATGACTCAGTAGTTTGAAGATTCAACTTTCAGCAAGTTAGCTTTGTGTTTGGACGTCATTCAAGTGTCATCACTTCATTTACACGTTGGATAGTTGAAAGAATAAGTTGAATATCTTCACAAATACGAGAAAACCAAGCAGGCTTATGATCAAGAAGAGGGTGTGTTGAGTATATCTTCACCCTTTGACAAATTCTAGAACATAGGCATACCAGCGTTCAACAATTGCCATATTTCTTGACCTGAAAGCGGCATTTGATTTTGTCGACCGAGAGGTCCTGTGGCGACGTTTGGCCGTGTAGGGAATGTCGAGGAAATACATCGCACCGATCAAGGTACTCTTTTCACACTCATGCAGTCAGGTGAGAGCCAACGGAGAGTTGTCATCTGAAGTGTTGACAACCAGTGGTGTCCGTCAGAGATGCCCACTATCCCCACTTCTGTTTAATTTCATCGTAAATGTAATAATGGACTTAACCCCTAGCTGACTTCAGCGATCCAATAATTGACTTGTTACCATCAGGAAATAATCTCGTTGACTTAGAATATGCGGATAATATAGTCCCTTTAGGTGAAGACGCTGACAAAATGAAGACAGAGTCTTCTGAACACTTCGAGGAGCAGCAGTCTTCGGACGTTTGACATGCGATTCCTCCGCTCGTGTCAAGTGTAAGATGATGCTACAGGACTGAACTGCACTGCATCGACCTCCGGCTTGAAGAGAGGTAGGAGTGAATTGGTAGAGCGTGTTGACCACCTCGCTTATTTGGGAATTCGTCATTAGCGGGTTGATTGCTGACGAAATCTCAGCACGGATACAGAAGGCTCGTTTCGCACATGTCAGTTTACGCCATCTCTGGCTTAGTGGACGAGATATCCGGCTGACTTTATGTCGTCGGTGGGACATCCATCCTCACACATGACATCTGGATGGACCTCACTGGTCACGACATTGGTTGGGGTCGCGCTAAATCACGAATCGGTAGAAGTTAGAAGTCATGAGCCATTGAATCGGGTCCCAGTGGCTAAACGGTATACGAGCTTGTCTTGTAACCGGAAGGTCCTGGGTTTGAACCGTGGTGGTGGGTGCATACTGCCGATGATTCCCAAACTAGGATGAAGCAGCTGTTCAGTACTCCCTGGTTTTCAATGGTTCTCTAACTGACATCAATCCATGATCAACTCATATAAGTGTGGAGATTCCACTAATATGTATCAGAACTTTACTTCCCTAAAAAATTTAGATAAATGATTATGCTTAAAGCTGAAACATCTGTCAATGTGATTACCTAACGACCAAACAGTGTATGTTTACATTGTTAGAAGGTGGAGACACATAATGTAAGGACACAGCTATTAGTCTCAATACATATATTCAAATTCAAGTGGCAGAAAATTTAATCTTTATTATTATTATTTCCTTGGGTTCCAAGGGAACTAACTGCTCATAAGCTTTGATTTCTCCCTCACACAATCTTCTCCACTTCACCCTTGTACATCCAACTTATCGCGTCCCATTCGGTTTCCATTCAAGAGTCTAGCTTGAGATACCAGTCATCAGTCTCCTCAAGCGTATTCCAACCACCTCAATTTCCCTCTGAGTATATGTTCGACGATAGGTTCTTGACTGTTTTGTTGTAGTACTGCAGAGTTCCTTATTGCTTGTTCTTTCTAACCGACCGTCTAATCTTCAGCATGGATCGAACGTAACTGTGGATGAAAGTCTGATGTTCTCATTTGTTCACAGAAAGCATGTTGAAAAAAAACAAACTTAATACCTGCTAATGTTACTTTCTTTTCAACTTTTTCCTGTTTTCCAGATGATTTATGCAGTAACCGCCTTGATTGAATGCCAAAGTGATTTGTACATTATTAAAAAATTTCAACAAAAATCTTCTAGTCACCATCTGTGGGCTAATACAAAGTACCAAATAGTCTATGGACGACAATTAGGAAGTTCAGTGTTCTGATACATACATACATATCTATATATATGCCTACATTGTTCTCTTATTCATCAGTACACATTGATTAGCAGCACCCTTGGCAAATTCATTTGTTTAACAATCATAAGAAAGCAATTGAACAAACGTGCATCAATACATATAATATACATACATAGTCTTTCTTAATTTCAATAGATAGATATCATCAGTTAGATCTCATTTCTTATTTTGAGTGTTTGTGTGTGTGTGTGTGCACGCATTTGTGTGATATTCGAAGATAATTATTTAGATAGGGAAAAAAGTGGTTTTCAATTCTCCAACTATTTTCCCTCCAGATTTCTCCATACCCCAACAGCTACAATTATACATTTTTCCAGTAATTTTTGCTTTACCCTCACTATAATAAACAGATTTTTTTTTCGCCAAAAGACACGTAGTTTTGGTAGCTTTACCTACCTAGTTAGTTATAGTTTGTTTGTCCAGTTTTAAGTTAGTCTTCTCACTGAAATCATCATCATCATCTTTATCATCATAAAGATTTTTATTTGATTTGTGATTTTCATATTTATTATTGTTATTATTATCATCCTCATTATCACCGTGTTGTTCGTGTACACTAGACAGAAGAATATCTGCATTTCTGTCTCTAGTGTTTTGGTTGGCCCTTTTGTTCTGTTCTTTGCGTGTGTGTGTGTGTGTGTGCCTGTGTGTGATAATAGTTCAACTTGTCTGTCTTTTGTGCAGAAAGGAAATGAAGACAGTGTGTTTATTTTCTAATTTTTGCGTTTCGTGGTTTTGTCTACTGTTTACTTTATGACTGTGATCGGCACTTATTATTATTATTTTACTATTATTATTACTGCCACTACTACTATTACTAATTCCGGTACTAGTAATACTATTGTGCTCTACTGAATTGCAGCATTTTCCTTAACCACCTACCATTTGTACTAGTGTGTGTGTTGTGTTTTTCTTCTTTCGCGTTTCACATTCAATGTTTCCACTTATCTCACTGCTAATAACAAATAAATAAATAGATATTGCCTTCGAAGATAAAATAATATTTAAACATTGTATTAAAAAAAGCAAGCAAGGAATTAATTTCATCTCATGGGTCGTAAAAAGATACTTATTAAGAAGATAGCAGACGAAAGAAATCGTCAGGTATGTTTCTGATATTATTATTATTATTGTGACATTGTGTAATCTGCATCTTATATTTCAAGTGTTAATTTGCTTTGGGATTTTTATTTTTACTCCTTTATTTTCCCTGTGGGACAATAGGGTCGCGGCTTCAAGCTAGAGAGAGACTTGAAGTTTCAGTAGCGGTGGTGTTTATTTTTACGGGATGTAGTTGCTAGCCTCATGCCCAACCTTCCCTCTTTACTAGTCTTATTACTGGCTTAGCGAGGCAAAGAAGCCCGTCGGCAGCGGATCGAACCCCGAACCGCCTGTGTGGCTGGTGAGCATTCTATTGCTGTGCTACTGCCGACGCATTTAGATTGATTAAATTCAAGGTAGACATGAAAAGGTTGACTGTCTTTGATCATAGATGTCTACGAACTCTTTCTCACGTTAGGTGGTATACTAAGGTAAGTAATGTTGACGTTAGGCGTAGAGGGTTGGGCAAAGAGGGAAAATCAATCGAAGAGGCTATAAAGTTACATAGATTGAGATGGCTAGGTCACGTGCTGCGCATGCCTAACCATCGCCTCCCCCGACGGGCATTACTAGCTGATATAAGTGCAGGCTGGAAAAGAGTAAGTGGTGGCCAAACAAAAACATGGCATCAATCCATGAAATCCCTGACAGTTAAACTGAGTCAGGTAGGGAGATGCAGACTTCCGGGTTGGGGCCCACCCTCGGGACTCTAGGAATCAATGGCTGGAGACAATAGGTGACATGGCTCAAAATCGTTGTCAATGGCTTACGCAGATGTATTCAGTCTCTGTAATCTTTCATATTTCTTTCTACCATTACTCATTCTGTTTCCCTCTTATACTTGTCAAAACTCTATTGATTCTCTTCACTCATCTTCTTGTCTACCTTTGTGTGCTCTTTGGGACGTGGCAACTGGAACTGCTGCACTTCGGTGCCAAGTTCTATGTTGAATCCAGACCAAACCAGAGAGATAAGTCTATCCCTTCTCTCCTATTTACTGCATTCGATGTGATTAAAATATGCAAAGCTTCATAGGTGAGCCTTTCGTTATGTGAATGAAAGCTCCTTCCTAGAATTTCGACATTGTCAAAATCGATCGTATGTCCGCTGTCTGTAGCATGCATTGCTATAGCTGATCTGTTTTCTAGACTTTTTAATTCTACTTCATTTGTACGTGGACGTTTGGTACACTCTGACCTTCACCTGTCTACTGCTCTGCCTTTTATAGCAAGTTTCAAATTCACCAGCATTTCCAATTGTAGCAAATCTTTCTATGAAAGCTGTAGGAAAAAAATCACTGACAAGTTTTAGCTTTCATCCTAGAATATGGTACAGATATATGTATATACATCTTAATTAAGAAAGCAGAAAAACTTTCTAACTTAATCTCAAAATAAAATATATGAAGTTTACTAATGAAGTAGAATTGGACGAGAGAACTCTAAACCTTCTGGATTGTTAATTGGTGGATGGTGATTAGCAGTCTTGTAAAAAGACAAACTGATGAGAAACTAAAGTTCACGATATACAGGAAGCCGACACATTCAAAAGAAATTTGAATTTCCAATCAGATCATTCCGTAAGAATGAAAGTTTCAGTAGCTTTAAATCTCGTTAATAGAGCTAGAAACATTATTATTATTATTCTCTTGGGTTCCGAGTGGGACATAGGGCTTCAACAACACATCTCAACTTTTTCCTATCTTCTGCCGCCCTCTTCAGCTTGGATCATGGTTACCCACAATCTCTCATCTCCTTCTGACACGATATCCTCCATGTCACCCTAGGGCGACCCACACGTTGCTTCCCATTGGGATTCTACTCGACGGCCTGGCGCGCGATGTTATTCGATGGTCTCCTCAATGTATGCCTCATCCATCTCCATTTTCTCCTACAGATTTGTTGAGCGATCGGCTCTTGGTTGGTTTGTTCCCACAGTTTCTTGTTACTTATTCTTTCTGGCCATTTGATCTTCAGTATGGAGCGAGCGAAGGGGGTAGCTGTTGATAAAAGTCTGCAACTGGCTGTTGTAAATGCTTTTCGTGACATGTTGGCCAAGTTTCTGACCCGTATAGACGGACTGACTTCACATTGGTGTTGAAAATACGAATCTTGTTCCTTATGCTGAATGCAGAAAATTTCCAAACTGGTTTCAGGTTGATGAAGGTGTATCTTGCCTTTCCGATTTTGATTTTGACATCTTCATCCGTTCCACCTGTAGTTGAAACGATGCTCCCTAGATAAGTGAAGGAGGTGACCTCTGTTAAATCTCTACCGTTGATGGTGATTGGTGCTGGTTGTTGTTGTTGTTTCTGTTGGTTATCTTCATCACTTCCGTCTTCTGTATATTCACCTGGAGTCCTGTCTTCGTTGCCTGCCTCTTCAGCCCGTTTGTTGGTTTTCACCTGCAAGTCTTCTAGTTTGTGTGATATTAAACACAAGCCATCTGTGAAATCCAAACCTTCTACAGTCTTCTTATCGGTGGTCCAGCGTATTCCTGACTCCTCGCTCCCCACATTCTGACTCAATCCAACTCACCACAATTAAGAATATCATTGGTGATAATCGGCGGCCAGCTTATCTCACTCCTGTATGCACTTCGAACGCCTCACTGAGTATTCCGTTATCGATCACCTGACACGTGGCGCTGTCATTTAGTCAATTGTTGAATGAGGTTGATAAAGACTTGGGCACTGTGCGATTTAGTGTTGACGTAGTTTCCAAATTACTTCTCGGTCAACGCTGTCTTTCGAAGACCTTTTCGAAATCGATGAAGTTGAGGTGGAGTAAGAGTTGACTGCGATTCTATGCTTTGTTCGATGACGATACGTAGAGTTTCGATTTGATCAGCACATGATTTGCCTTTCCTGAATCCAGCTTGTTCCGGGCGGAGTTCTGTATCCAGAGCATCTTTTATTCTCTCCAGGATGATGCGACTTAGTATTTTACTTGTCGTGAACAAGAGCATTGTTCCACGCCAGTTCTTGCAGAGGCGTAAGTCGCCCTTCTTTGGTAGCTTGACGAGGTAGCCAGCCTTTCTTCCAATCGGTAGGCACCTTTCCTTCTTTCCATACCTTTTGCAGTAAAGACATGAGCACATCTGCGGCAGTCTCTGGGTCCGTTTTCAGTTCTCCGACATGTAGGAATTCCGTCTGGTCCTGCTGCCTTCCTGACTGGACTTTAGTAGCTTGATCGCATTCAGGATTTCTGTTTTTGTTGAAGGATTGGTATCCACTGGCAGACAGTTCTGTGTTTGCTGTTGGTGGTGGTTGTAGTTCTGGGTGAGTTGCTGGTGGCAGTCGATTCAATAATCCTTTAAAGTGATTAGCCCAAGTTCCTTTGAGCATCTTTTATTGTTTTCATCATCTGGATTGATCTCTTCCCGGATAGTGAGTGACCTGGTTATCTGAAATGACGTTTTCAGGTTTCTTGCACCTGCCTGCCTGTTCTGCTTCAGTTGCCAGTGTGTCTGTAGTGAAGGCATCCCTTGTAGTTTTGTCCTTCGGTTCCTTAATGTGGAACTTGAATTGCGGCCTGTCTGGAGTTGTCCTGAAGACTTTCAGCTTCACCTTGAAGGTTCCAAGAACTAGATGATAGTCTGAGCCCACATCTGCTCCTCTTCTTGACTTTGTGTCCAGCAGGCTGCGTCTCCACTTCTTTGAGCAACATTGGGATGAAATCTATTTGGTTTGTGGTGTGTCCGTCAGGCGAAATCCATGTTGCTTTGTGTATATCCTTGTACTTGTACACTGCCTCCAATCACCAAATCATTGAAAGCGCAGAAGTCTGCGAATAGTTCTTCGTTCTCATTTATTTCTTTGAGACCCTCTCGACCCATGATGAGTTCTCTTCCTTTATTATCAGGTCCCAGTTTGGCGTTCATATCGCCCATGAGGATTTTGATGTCACCATTTGGGATGTTATCCATTACTGTTTGTAGTTGTCTGTAAAACTCTTCCTTCTTGTCTTGTTCCGCGTTGTTTGTAGGTGCGTAGCATTGAATAATTGTAACCTTTCTTCCTTTTGAATTGAATCTTGCTGTCATGATCCTGGATGATATTGGCTCCCACTGCATTAGAGCTTTGGCTGCCACTGGTGACATCATGATAGCCACTCACTGCCTCAGTGTGTTCGTGGTTGTCGTCTGGGTGGCCGGAGTAGATTATTGGCTCTCCCTTTCACAATTTGGGTAATCCACATCCGTGGTATCTGCTTTCGCAGACATTCCACGTCCGCATTCTTATTCTTGCCTTCATCGAGAGAAGACACATTGGCTGGCTTACTGGCTTCCCGAAGGCTTTCACCAGCCCGCTGTATCATTTTGCTTCTCTGATTCCAGCGAAGAATAAGATCGTTCTTTGAATTTTTTGTATTTTCAATATATTTTTTGTGTGTTGAAGTTTCTCTAACGGTTTGATAGGTTTAGTGGTGTAGGGTTGCTAGCCGTACGCCCAACCCTCCCTCTTTACCCGGGCTTGGGACCGGCAAGAAAACTAGCAAGCTAGTTAACTAGGCGACGTTGAGCTAGAAACATGATAACAGATAATGATGATATGGAGAACGAGATCCCCACAATAAAACAAATTTTGATTGGAAATGGTTATCCTAAAAAGCTGCTAAATAAATTATCAATAAAAAAACTAGAAGGGAAAACAGAACATTGAAAAATCTTGGCTATCGATGATAGCCATTCCATATCGATAGGATACAGCTGAACAACTTCAAAGAGTACCTGCTTCATATAATATTAAAGTCTACTCCAAGCCCTCTAATTCTCTAGAGAAAGTCTTGGTGAATGTCAAAGATATGGTTTCCAAAATGACTCAAAACAACTCTCCCTGTAGGATAAAGTGTTCAGAATGTGAATGCAGTGGTTGATTGGTAAAAGAGCTAAGGATGTGTGGGGACGTTTTGTGTTGGGGCATCGCTACCTGTCTAGAACTGCTCGTATCTGGTGTCATCATCATGTAAGTGATTATGAGGTCTACTGGCGTGTGTTTGGACATGATGAAGGTTGGTGGGTGGTGTCATCTTGGAATGTCGGCTTCGGTAGCTTATACATTTATTACTAATGTCATGCCAGCGACTCCCATATCGCTGTGTTTCCTAGTTCACCGACCTGGATGAAAAACGCAGAGGCGTTTTCAGCCTATAGTGTGGAAGAGTAAGATGAAGGAGAATTGTGTTAGTTTTACATCGGCTAATTCATCACGATGCCCTGGGTAGTAGCATCTGAGAGGTGATTCGAATCAGAGACTTGAGACGTCAACCTCCCTTCTTTCTGAAACTAATACGAAATGATTAAATACTCATTAAATGTTGTGATAAGCATACTCACCTGTTTTCATGATGCTGTTCATCAGTCATTTCAATTTTGAATATATAACCTTGTTGTTTTCTGCTCCACGCATCTCCTGGTGCCCAGGAATAATCTCGTTGACTTAGAATATGCAGATGATATAGTCCTTCTAGGTGAGGACGCTGACAAAATGAAGACAGTCTTCTGAACACTTTGAGGAGCAGCAATCTTCGGACGTTTGACATGCGACTCCTCCGCTCGTGTCAAATGTAAGATGATGCTACAGGACTGAACTGCACTGCACTGCACTGAATCGACTCCCGGCTTGAAGATAGGTAGGAGTGAATCGGTACAGCGTGTTGACCACCTCACTTATTTTGGAATTTGTGTCAGCCCCATCAGCGGATTGATTGCTGACGAAATCTCAGCACGGATGCAGGAGGCTCGTTTCGGATATGCCATCTCTGGCTTAGTACACGAGATATCCAGCTGGCTGTTGACCCGAAGGCGTGTATACTGCTCAGGTTCTCTCCATCCTCCTTTATCACTGTGAGTGAGACTTGGTCATTGTAAGTGGAAGACATGAAAAGCCTAGCTAGCTGTCTTTGATGATAGGTGTCTGCGTTGTATCTGGTGTGTTGTTATGTTGTGGCATAATAAGGTGATTAACATCTAGGTTAGGCCTAGAGTGTTAGGCAAGGTGGGTAAATCAATTGATGAGGTTTCGAAGCTATACTGATTGGACATAGGATAAATATTATGGATTCCACAAATCATCGTCTTCTTCATGGAGAAATGTGTTAGCTGACATAGATAGGATTAGGTTGGAAAAGGGTTGGGATTGGTCATCAGTCCATAAAGTCTGTAACAGTTAATTTAATTCACTTAGAGAGGTGTAGTTGAGGTCCTCGAGAGGCTAGGAACCAGCAGCTAGAGACTATTGGTGATATGGATTGAAACTGTTCTCAGTGACACAGATGCCTTTACTCATTTTGCTTTCCCCAGCTACATTAAGTCCGCACGTTTCTTTGTCTAATTGTTCTTCCTCTCGTGCATTTCTGCTCATTATATTTCTTTTAAACATCCTCTTCTCTACCTCTATGTACTACATAAAGTGTGTGATAACTTGAATTGGTGCACATTTCTATGCAAAGTTCTCTGTTGAAACTCAAGCAATCGGAGAGTTATGGTTTCAAGTATGTATTTCTGTGTAATTTGTGTAGTAGACACCTGTGGTGTGCTGTACTTGACCTTCTCTCTCTCTCACATAGTTAGTAACTAACGTGTTTCTTACACGCCTTTTTGGTGAAGATACTAAAATTATTATTATTGTTTTTGTTATATATATATATTTTTTTTTCATGTCTTGTCTTGTTTTGTTGACTTTTTTTAAAATATTCACTGTGGTTACGCTTTTTTTGTTGTTGTGTATTTTCAGGTTACCTTTACAAAGCGTAAATTAGGTCTAATGAAAAAAGCCTATGAATTAAGTATACTGTGTGATTGTGAAATAGCTTTAATAGTATTTACAAGTTCACAGAAATTATTCCAGTATGCTAGTTCAGATATGGATAAAATTCTGTTACGCTACACTGAATTCAATGAACCACATGAATCAAAGACAAATAGAGATATAGCTGAGGTATGTTCACACAGCAATAAACTTACTTCTTGTTTATATATGCATATATATATATATATGTATTTCATTTTTGATTGTATTTATAATATGTATGTATTCCATAGAGGTGATCATGATTTTGTGTATGTGCTGATGATGTTGGTTTACTGCTGGTGACGACAATCCTTTTTTTTGATTTCCTTTGGCTTCTCATAATTTGTGTTATAACCTAAAGAAATTATTAAGTTTATATACGCAACAGTTTTTACCTAGAGGATTTCATCATGAGCTGACATCAGCTAGAGAACCACTAGAAAACATGGTAGTACTGGACATCTGTTTCGTCCTAGCTTAGGACTCTTCAGCAGTACGCACCCACCATTGGATTGGGTCCCAGTGGCTCAATGGTCTACGAACTCACCTTGTAACCAGAAGGTCCTGGGTTCGAACCCCGGTGGGTGCGTACTGATGAAGAGTCTCGAACTAGGACGAAACAGCTGTCCAGTACTTCCATGTTTTCCAGTGGTTTTCTAACTGATGTCAGCTCATGATGAAATCCTCCATGCAATCAAACAAAAATTCCTACAAAACCAATACTTGAAAGTTTTTACATACTTGCAAATCTGACGTGATGTCAGTTGACAAGAGACTCCGAAATTAATAAACAATGATTAGACATTTCACTTATGATAACTTATGCACTGGAGCAAATTAACAATTTGCTATGTACACAGTTGAACGGTTGAGAATTTTTTGACACAATTTCCTTCGGAAGCCAAATCCGGTGTTTGTCTGTTTTCGACATAAAATTTTGCACATGTTTGCGGCAGTTCAAGTCGCCACACTCCCTCTTTGTAGCACACAAAGCAAGAGAAGAAAGTAGGAGAAATGCATAATATAGACAGTAAACAGAGGTGTGAGACAAAGGAATAGTAATAACGAAAAACAATATAGTTTCATTGGAAATCATAAGTCACAAGGAATGGATGCATCTGTGCCAGCCATTGAGAACGATTTTGAGCCATTGGTTTTTACCGTCCCGAGGACCCCAACCAGTCAGGAAGTCTACACCTTCCTACGTGGCTGAGACTAACTGTTGTAGATTTCATTGACTGGTGCCATGTTTTGGTTTGACCGCCACTAGCTCTTTTCCAGCCTGACCCTATGTCAGCTAACATTGCCCGTCTTCAAGGAAAGCGATGACTAGGCATACGTAACGCATGTCGTAACCATCTCAGTCGATGTAATTTCACCGTTTCGTCGACTGATTTCCCCTCCTTACCTAGCACTCGACGCCTAACCTCAGTATTGGTTACCTTATTATTCCATTTCACACGGGAGATAGAACGCAGACACCTATGGTCAAAGATCAAATCCGGTGTTTAGATCACCTCCAGCTGACTAGCAAGCATTACTTATTGATATGAGTGGTATACAAGCACTCATTTTAACCAGCCTGACCCCAGCTGACATAGGGTCATGCTGGAAAAGAGCTAGCGGCGTGGCTCCATCAGTCAATGAAATCCACAACAGTTAGTTTAAGCCAACCACGTAGGAAGGTGTAGACTTCTTGGCTGGTTGGGGTCCTCGGGACGGTAAACACCAATGACTGGAGACAATCGGTGGTATGACTCAATATCTTTCTCAATGGCTGGCTCAGATGCATCCACTCCTTGTGACCCATAATTTCCTATGAAACTACATTGTTCTTCGTTATTACTAGTCCTTTTGTCTCATATCCCTGTCTGCTGTCTCTATTATTCATTTCTTCTACTTTCTTCCCTTGTTTTGTGTGCTACATGGAGTGCAGCACATCGGTGCAAAGTTCTGTGTCCAAAATAGACAGACAGACATCTCAACCAATCAGTAGTATGCAGTTTTATACACTGGAAGTTCCAAATTGAACAAAGCCATATCGAAAAATTAAGAAAAGTTTGAATACTGTCGAAAAAGAGTTATGGAATAAAAAGAAGGTTGGATAAGATGATAAGTAACTAACAAGTTACAGAATAGTGTGATGAGTTCAATTCAAATCATAGAAACGAAAGGTAGGCGAAATTACACCATCGCAAAAGGAGTGGAGGTTAAGGTCAAAGATTATTTATTATGTAATCAGATAAAAAGGAAGAGTGAAGACATCCATTTGTCAGGACAAGAAAAGACCGATAACTGCTTCTTTCGGGTCTTAAACATTGCGCAGTAATCGCTTTGGTGGACTTTATGAGAATTGAATTATTTTGTTTATTGATAATTTTAAAGGATTTCCTCATGTCCATTTCATGACCCATATCAATAAGATGTCTGGCAATATCACTATTAAAGGGAACAAACACCTCCAACAGCACCATTTACTTTTGTGACCCTCCGTGTACAAGTTGTATAAGTATAACATCTCAGCAGTGTTTATTAATTTTGGAGTCTCCTGTTAACTGATATCGTGTCACATTTGAAAGTACGTCAAAATTCCTCTCTAAGTTTAATAATTTTTTTCAGGTTGTATGCACTTCAAGCGAAACTGAAAAAATTAACGATGGTACCAACTTGTTCTGCACAAACTATTAATTTTGCTAAACTAAATTTCACAAAGGGAAATAATTGTGTGGAGCTTCTAGTTCCATATTATTTTTTGTTTATTAGATATATCACACAATGTAACAGTATTATCTACTGGATGAAAAGGTTTCAAACACAATTTATTGTTCATAATCATTTCATCAATTATAATCACACAACTTCGACCTATTCGTATTATAATTCTCTTTATTCCTTCCTGTTACACGTTTTTGCAGTTGATTCGATAAATAAATCTTCCGTTGTCAATTTCTCCCTCCACCCTGTTACATCAGACTTTATAACTCTCAACTTATCCAATCCTATTATGTATGGTTGTGTGTAATTGCATGCAGTGAGTGCTATAGCTGAACTATTCTCCAGATTTCTTATCTTATTCGGGTTAACCAATCTAGATTTTGCTAGGATTTTATGCTCGGCTAGTCTGACTGCACCTGTTCTTCTACTTTGACCTATGTATTTGACCTGATGATAATCAAAGCAGAGTATTAGATAAACTAAATTGTTTTGTTTAGTTGGCTGCACAGGATCCTTTAACCGACAGAGCTTGTTTCGAATTGAGTATTTTTGAGTATTCTTTGACTTTTTGAATGCTGTTGATTCGGCATTGCTAGAGGATTGTATTATAAAGTCGTGTTTCTCGTTGGTAACTGTCCCCGTTAGTTTTTGCTTTAACTGCTCGATTTCACTTCTGATACGACGCAGCTTTTTACGAATTCTGTGGATCTCTTCTTTTGGACCGAATTTTTGTAGACTTTCTAATTCTGGTTTTCGCTTTGTCTGTCGGGACTGAAGCTAGTAGACGTAGGTACTTAGGATTGAATTCACTTGTCAGGAGACGAATGCTGAAAATACGATCATTCCTAAATACGTACGTCTACAAGCTTCAATCCCGACAGACAAAGTGAGAACCAGAATTAGAAAGTCTACAAAAATTTGACCCAAAAGAAGAGATCCACAGAATTCGTAAAAAGCTGCGCCGTATCAGAAGTAAGATAGAGTAGTTAAAGCAGAAACTAATGGGGACAGTTACCAACGAGAAACACGACTTTATAATACAATCCTCTAGCAATGCCGAATCAACAGCATTCAAAAAGTCAAAGAATACTCAAAAATACTCAATTCGAAACAAGCTCTGTCGGTTAAAGGATCCTGTGCAGCCAACTAAACAAAACAATTTAGTTTATCTAATACTCTGCTTTGATTATCATCAGGTCAAATACATAGGTCAAAGTAGAAGAACAGGTGCAGTCAGACTAGCCGAGCATAAAATCCTAGCAAAATCTAGATTGGTTAACCCGAATAAGATAAGAAATCTGGAGAATAGTTCAGCTATAGCACTCACTGCATGCAATTACACACAACCATACATAATAGGATTGGATAAGTTGAGAGTTATAAAGTCTGATGTAACAGGGTGGAGGGAGAAATTGACAACGGAAGATTTATTTATCGAATCAACTGCAAAAACGTGTAACAGGAAGGAATAAAGAGAATTATAATACGAATAGGTCGAAGTTGTGTGATTATAATTGATGAAATGATTATGAACAATAAATTGTGTTTGAAACCTTTTCATCCAGTAGATAATACTGTTACATTGTGTGATATATCTAATAAACAAATTAATATGGTATTACATGCTACCACAGTACCCAGGTTCTAGACATATATTTAGTGAAACTTTTAGATTTTGTTTTAAATATATGAGTAAGATTATTGACCACTTGCTTTTATCACATTTCGTTGACGACTGATCACGCTGAAGGTATGATCTGATTACACTATTTACCATTTGACAGTGAATGCTTTTAGTTTCTCTTACTAGCATTTTAGTTAGCAAATAGTTTCATTTCTGTTGTGCTTTCCTATATAACCTTTGCTTTAAGGTCAAGCAATCTTTGGCCCCATGTTCGTTATAAATTCATGATCCGTTGCTTGCATTCCGTTTAGATTATAGGGCTTCAGGGGCTCACTTTCATTGCACTCGATTCTCCCACATGCTTCTCATTTCGTCCTCACATGGTCTCCTCTATGTCACTCATGGACACCCTACTCGTTGCGTCCTCTTTGCTTTCTAATCAAGGGAATGGCGTTTGGTGTCACCTGAAGGTCTCCTCAGATTACTTCTAACCTATTTTCATTTCTTTCTGCATATTTCTGGTCGATGGATTGTTGGTTGCTAGTGTCCCTTTCTGTCCATTCAGTTTCCAGCATCACGCAAAGACTTGCCAAGTCAAATTTTCATGTCTTTAATTGTTCAAGATATGAAATATTCTTCACAATTTCAGAGATAGGAAATTAACTTTCATGTCCCATTTAGATGAATTGCTTCGTAAACTGTTCTTATCAAATTTCTTTTTTTCTCATTTTTGGAGGTGATCGGCAGTCTAACTTTCTTGGCGGTCGTTTCAATAACTTTTGGTTTTTTCTGACCAGTTTTTATTATT